CCCTTAACAATTCCATTTCTGGTGTTTGGTATTCAAAGTAGGAAGAAGGCATTTATATGTCTTTTTAAATATCAGAAAACAAAGAATATAGTTAGTTTATGAAAAATAAATTCTCATCTCCTGGTGCTAGGTGATGAACATTTTTCATGTGTCTGTTGGTCTTCTATATGTCTTTTTAAATAAATGACTAACACTTCTGCTCACTTTTTAAATTGAGTCATTTTACTTTTTGTTGAGTTGTATGATTTCTTTGTAGATCTTTGATATAATTCTACCAAAAATAAAAGACTTCCAACATTTTCACTATCACATTAAAAAATTAAAACAAGACCCTCCCTGATGGCGCAGCGGATTAAAGCACAGCACTGAGAATCTAAAGCCGCTTCCTCATGAGTTTGATTCCCGCCTGCCCCGGAGGTGACCACATGGTGTGGCAGACCTCTCCTGACCCGCCCGCTGCTCCCCTCAGCAGTGTTTTTCGTAGATCTGCCTGTTCTACTCCCCACTCTGTCTCTGGTGAAGCCTCTCGCCACCCCTGCACCTCTAGCCTGTACCCCAGTTCTGTATGCATAAATAAATAAATCTTTAAAAAAAAAAGAAATTAAAACAATAACAAACTATTCCCAACACAAAGTGGAGAAAAGCAAATAACAAAGATCAGAGAAATAATAAAGGAGATCAGAAAACACCAGAAAAATCAATCAAACTAAGGGCTTGTTCTTTGAAAAGATATACAAAATTGATAAACCTTTAACCACGTCAAAGAAAAAGAAGAAAGGATAAATAAAATCAGAAATGAAAGCGGTACTATTTCAACTGATTCAAGGGATCATAAGAGACTACTATGAATTGAACAATTATATACCACATATAACACCAAATTGGTTAACCTAGATTGTGAATAATTTTCAAGGAATGCAAACTATCAAGACTGAATCACAAATATTAGATAATTTGAATCAAATAACTACTAGCAGGGAGATCATATCAGTAATTAGCCCCTCCCAATAAAGAAAAGCTCAGAATTAAATTGTTTGTAGCATAATAAAAGGTTATGATGGTAAAATGATAATTTTTCAATCATTTCAAGAACAATTAATTCCAAATAAATAACTTCCAATAATTGATGAAAATAAATAGTATCAGCACTTTCAAAAAATAAATAACTAAAAGTAGGGAATACTGCCACAGATTCTTTTATGAGGTAAGCATTACCCTGATACCAAAACCAGACTAAAAAAATGCCAGCTGATATCTCTGATCAGTACACATGGAAAACCTTAACAAGATATTAGCAAACAAAATTTAACAGTACTTTCAAATTAATACAAACTAAAATCAAATGGACTCGATGCCAGGGAATCGTACAGTTCAAATATACCAATCAGTAAATGTGATGTTTATTAATACAATGAAAGGTAAAAATCACATGATTATCCCAGTATACACAGAAAACCAAACTTTTGACAAAGTTGACATATGTTCATGTTAAAAAATCTCAATCAATTGGCTATAAAATAATGTATTTCAGCATAATAAAAGTCCTATAGGACAAGTCCATAGATGTCATACTCAGCAAGGGGTTTCAAAGCTTTTCCACTAAGAATAGGATCAAATAACTCACGCCATATATCCTAGTCTTCCTAGTGGGGCAAGGCTTAACGTACAGCACTATGAAGCTATCTGCAGCCACTGCAGCAACAGTTCCCCAGCCAGGGAGGTGACCAACATGGCGCAGCAGGCCTCTCCTGACTCCCCACTGCTCCCCTCAGCAGTGTACATTGTCAATCTGCCTGTTCTGCTCCCCTCTCTGTTTCTGGTGAAACTTTTCACTGCACCTGCACCTCTGGCCTGTACCCCAGTCCTGTATGCATATACAAATAAGTCTTTAAAAAAAAAAAAAAGAAGGCCAGGTTCTCCCTTGTGGCTCAATGGTTTAAAGCACTGCATTATGAAACTCTGTGAAGCCACGGCAGAAAGAGTTCCATCCCCTGCCAGTGAGCTGCTGGCTCACAGGGCTGGCAGACCTCTTCTGACTGGCCCATTGCTCTCCTTAACAGTGTATTTCAGTACATCTACCTATTCTGTTCCCCACTCTGTTTCTGGTGAACCCACTCACCCACCACATCTCTGGCCTGTATCCCAGTTCTGTAGGCATAAATAACTAAATCTTTAAAAAATAAATTATAAAAGAAGGTCATTATGAAAAAGAGAGGATTTTACAAGTGTTGACAACAATTGGAGTAAAGGAACTCTATACACTGTTGGTGGGGATTAAATTATTACAGGCAGTAAAGAAAACAGACCTCTCAAAAACTTAAACTACCACATGTTCCATCGATTACACTTCTGGGAATATATTTGAACAAAATCAAATCAGTTTATAAATAATTAGCTTTTTACCCACATTTATTCTTTTTTAAAAAATGTAATTTTGAGATATGGTTGAAAAATAACCATTGTGTATAACATTGTAGAAATAAACATTGTATAAATAAACATTGTGTAAATTCTTTGTGTTAGTTTGATACATTTATACAATGCAATCTGATTAATACTGTAGCATTAGCTACACCTTTATCACATTATTTTTTTGTGTGTATTGCTAACAATTTAAATCTACTTTCAGAATAGCTTTGAATGCAATGACTACCATAACTCTTGTACTTCAGAACTCCAAAATTTGTTTATTTACTCGTTGCAGGTTTGCAACTGAAACGTATTTCCAATTCACCTATCCTCCAGACTCTCACCTACTTTCTACTCTCTATTTTGACAAGCGCAGGTATTTTGATTACATATAAAGTGTAAAAGTAGTATTTGTCTTTTTATATCTGACTTATCTCACTAGCATTATGGCCTCACAGTCCCCCTTGTTATTGCAAATGTCAAGATTGCCCTCTTTCTGATAGTTGAATAATAGTCCATCACATATGAAAAAGATAATTATAAGAATCGTACCAATCCATCCATTCACTGACAGGTTATGTCCATAGGTTGACTACTGTGAACAGTGCTGCAACAAGTCTGTGTGCACATATCCCATCAGATACTGATTTCAATAATTTTGGGTTTATAATGAACAGGATTGTGAAGTTATACGATAGTTCAATCTTTTATTATATGAGGAAATTCCAGTGTTTTCCACATGTTTATACCAATTATCATCACCACCTACATTATATAAGATCTTCCTTTTCTCCACATATTTGCCAAATGTATTTTTTTTTTGATAAAAGTCAGCCTGACAGGTGTGAAGTGATATCTCAGTGATATCACTGATGTCAGGTTTTATGCCTGTGCTTTGTTCTCTTCCATTTTTCTTTGTAGATTTCCTCAAAAATTTTCCTCTATTCTATTGATCCTTTCACATTATGCATCTCTGTCATTTTCTTACAAGAAGAAAACTTCAATTCCCATGTTCTTTTTGTCAACTTTATTTCTCAGGATATCCATTTGTTTTTCAAAATTTTCTTACATATATTTGATTTCTCTTTTTTGTGTTTTCTCTCATTTATTCGAGTGTATTTTGATTTCCTTGAAATGAAACATTTCCCAAACTGTTGTGGTTGGATTCTGGTGATTTGTTCTCTTTCTGTGGTAGAAAATTTTCTTACTGACTCAAGGTGTCTTGTGTTTTATTTTTCTGCCTGCCCTTTTCGCTCGTGTCCTGAGGGTGCAGAAATTGTATTTCCCAGCAGATGGCACTGTGGAACTTTTTAAAAAACGTAATCTGGCTTGGTTTTTCAGCATGCTGCAAGGTGCTGTATGTTGGAGAGAACTGAGGTACAGCTGCTGAGATGAGGTAGAGGAGGGACCTTGTGAAGTTCCGTCAACAGTGAAAGTGGTAGTTTCGTCAATAGTGAAAGTGGGACTGCACGGTGGCTTGTGTTTGTGTGCACCTCTGACAGTCTGGAATTCGACACAAATCTATGGGCAGGGTTTTCAGCTGCTGCTTCCAAGGATCAGCTAAAATCTCAAGAGTTTGGTGGAAAGGGAGCAATGCTCTGCTCCATGTTCTCTTAAGTGGGGACCCTGCCTGCTTGAGTAACCCTAAAATCTCAACGCTATCTCCCCTCAGCTGAATATATGCCTTTAATCCGTTCTCCCCTCCTCAGGGCCACCAACCAAACATAGGAGAACCAGGTTGCAATTTCTACCCAAGCCACAGTCTCCAGGGGTTTCTCTCTACACACCTTAAATTGTAAAGAGTTGGCTTTCCTCAGTGTGTCTCCTGTCATCATCAGCAGTGGTCTCTGATTCCCAGTCAATCCTCATTGCACATTTTCAACAGGTGATGTAGACCAAAACTAATTTTAGTATAGGCTAATTGATACAATCAAGATTTAAGTTCTATGGCATATTTCTGGTCACAAAAACATCACCAAATTTCCAGACTTCAAACATTTAACAATAACTTTTATTCATTCATTCGTTCGTTCGTTCGTTCGTTCATCCATTCATTTATTTTCTACCTTATTATTCCAGTCCAGATAATGGTTATCTGGAGCCTATCCTGGTACTTCAAGATCAAGATAGTATGCAATCCCAGACAGGGTCTAACAGCAGGCCACTTATATCCCCACCTGCAGCCCACTGGCTGTTTCTCAGACTGGAATAATTTATGAGAGCCAGTTTACCTAGCATGTGCATCTTTTGAAGTGGGAGGAAACCCTAATACTCAGATAAAATGACATAAAGGAGAGAAATCAAACACCACACAAACAGTGGTCCAGAAAGAAATCACTTTTTCTCATCAAAATGAAATTGCTATGTCAACTTGGAGCTTCTTCGCTTATTCCTGAGGTTCCATTGAGTTTTAGTTAAAGCGTATCCACAATTATTTCAGTACTAAATAATACAACACAGATGTAGAAAAAATAAATTTGAAGTTGATTCCTGTTTCTAACCAGATTAATGTCTTTTTATAATATTAGATTTTGAATATAAAAGACATCTCTTCAATCTGTCACATTCTCAAGCGTTTACAAAACTGGATTATGGAATTTTCTGCTCTACAGCCCACAATACAGTGGTTGCACACACCACAATCAACACATGATTGTCCACCTGGACTAGAATATTTGTCTCAAGTATGGTGACATAATTCTCGAAACTCTTAATCTATCATAGTATGCTTAAAATATAATTTTAGATTATTTTAGTGTATAATTTATGAGATAGGAGAAATTTTGATTATACATTGAGATACTAGTAGCATTAAGATCTTTACATTTTACTTTAATTATATTTTAATTTGTATCAAAGTGGTAATTTTACATTTTAAATATTGTGTTATTTAAAATTTATTTCCTAGGAAAACCATTAAAAATAAATACATATTTTTCAAAATAGTAAGTTGAATTTTAAGGTGTGAGTAAAAATTTAAAGAAGAATTAGTTTACCTAACTACTTAGGTTTTAGGAGTCTGACATGCACATGTAAAATGTAGACACTAATAATAAAAAAATGTCTTTGGTTCACTACCACATTTAATGGCTTTTTGTGCTTTTTTATACTGTTATTTCTGGTTTGGTTTCTGTAATGATGACTATAAATATTTAAATTTGACATTTTACTTGATTATTGCCCACATCTTGTTTTTCAGATTTTTTAAAAGCAAAAGAATTATTACTTTTGGAAAGGTTGTTTACATTTTCAATACTGAATTTTACTTATGCCATGAGCAATGGTGTATATCTAACAAGACATTTTAATGTGTATAAAAACACATTAAAATTAAAATTTTCCTTTCAAAAATATTATATTCTTCCTGAATGTCATTTTTAATAAAAGCAATTTAAAATATTTTGTGATCCCAGATATTGAGACTATTACAAAAAGAGCAAAAAGAGCCTATTTTATAGATTATCTGATAATATTGCATTTCATTTTTCTTTGGTAAAATATGTCAAAATTTCTTAGTGATACTAATATAACATAAGGCACTTGAGAAAAAAAATGAAATTTTAATAATGGATAAATTGCTTAAAATCCCTAAATGTAAGTATAATGTATGTATATATCAGTATATATTTTAAATTTAATTTAGCTATTTCATATCAGCTATCTTTATTTTTTACTCTAATAGATAAATCAATTACTAGTGTGTCAACGCTTTGATCTTTGGAAAGGTAAGTACTCAATACTGGTATATTCATTCTTTAATATGTAAATTGTTTGCTGTAGTTTGGGCAACCCTAGTAAATTAAAGCATTTCTAGTGTCTGAGAAAACTAAATATTGTATATATAGAAGGACCTTAGTCAATAAGAAGGTGAACATACAATTTTATTCTTCTCAAGGAAAAGGAGAAAAACATTTGCTCCAAACCAAATGTTTCTCTCTTTACTTTTAAACTTTCAAAACAGTGGTTCTATTTTCTGAAAAATATGTTTTCATCCTGAATCCCTAAAATATGGGTATTTCGGGGAAACAATAGTTTGAGTCTTCAGGAATTCTGTTAGAAGAAAGTAAAATACAGGTCAGTTTCTGGGCAATCTAAGTCCATTTCCAAGTCTAAGAAATTAAATGGGCCTTTCAAAACCAGTCATTTAACTATATCTCCTCAAAAATTTATTTTCATGTAGATAAAGTATTAATACATATAAATAAAATGAAATATATAGTTAAAAATATGTATTCACCAATGATGGCCTTTCTTCTTTTCTAGTATACAAAAGACAACCTAAAACTCAAATAGGCACTTATAGTTCTATTTAATTCGTGAATTTTCACAAACACTGGTTCATTGTAAAAGCACATTTTGTTTAATTATTTATTGTTCATTTTTTTTTTTTTTTGGACTTGTTGCCTGATGAATCCATTTTTTTGGAGAGCAGGTCTGGAATCCAAAGGTGGGCTTTTTTCATTCTTTGCTTGTCAAGAAAGAATTCAACATCAAAACCAAAGTTAAAGAAAAGAAAGAAATGTATGCATAGGTAGGTAGGAAAAACAATAAAGCTCTTTGAAGAGAGAGGGGTCAGAGTGGGTAGCCACTGAGGTGGTGAAAAGTAGGTGCTTACATAGGTATAGTGGGCAAGGAGTAGGATTAGCCCTTTGGTGTCTGAGTTTGTCACTTGTTCATGGCTGTGCCAGTGGGTCTCTCCCTGAGTTCTCCACGTCATCCAGCCTACTTTTCTGAAATTACCTTTGTTCTATTGCTACTATGCTATTATGTTTGTGTTCTGAACATTCCATTTGTAATTGAATGGGGGGGGGGGTCCGGAGCACTCTCCAGGTCTATGATTGTTTCTCAATGAGGCTGATAAAAGGACAGAGCTTAGGGTACCCTGTTCCTAACTAGCTGCCTATATCCATTTCCTAACTTCCTCATTCATCCCCCCTCTCCCTTTAAGGTAGTAACCCTAACTGCCATTAGGGAAAATGGCTGAAGACAAAATCTGGCTTCTTCCTACTAATTGGAGGTGAAGTATGCAGTAGTGAGGGATCACATCCAGAAGGGGGGGGAGGGGGGTGTCTATTCAGGGGGTCTGCAGGTGGGTCTGTTTGGACCACCTTCTGGAGCTTGGCCACTTTTGAAGTGTAAGAAATAAATGTGATAATGAGATTTAAGAGACATAGCTCAAAAATGAGAAGCAGCAGCATGGCTAGCAAGGGTCCCAAGAGCAAAAGGAATCCGGTAATGAGGGGAGGATCTACCACTGGATCTGATCTTAGATTTGGGTGGCAGATGTTTCCTTAAAGGTTGTGGAGCCATGAAGTCTTGTCATCCAGGGCATTGCTATTCTCCTCCACTTGTGGCCTAGACTTGATAATGATACAAGTTTTATTAAAGACAACATGGGATTCACTATGTTATGCAAAAAGGTTACAGGGCAGAGGAGGAGGTGGGTTAGAACCATGTAACAGAAAAGAGTCTGTCCCATGGGGGTGGTCCAGGGCTGTCTCACCTGGACATCTACCAAACAGGAGTCTCTAATCTTTAAGAGGCTCACAGCTGCACTAGGGAAAATGGGCAACAGCTCACTGTGAAGCAGATACTGGTTCCCAGGCCTTTACACATGAATGATGAATCCAGAACTCCTGGCTTTCTACCTTCACAACACTAGGGGTGGCAAGGATTACTGTGTAAGGCCCCTCCCACAAAGCCTCCTTCACTTAGACTAAGTGCTTTATTCCTTCACTTAGACTAAATGCTTTATTTTATGGAAGATAATTTATGCCATAATTACTAGTGAGTACCTACAATGAACATGACATGTGCTAACTATTGGGGGAAAAAAAAGGTCAAAATTGTACTTGCACTGCAGGATTTACCCTAAAATATGAGGATGAATAATCTTTAATAATTCACAAAATCACAAGAAATATAAAAAATCAATGGAAGTAATTCTAAGGACAAAACAGCCTGTTTCTTATATTTAACCATGCATTTAATAGGAAACCAGATTTCTAAATTTGTGATTCTCAAAGAATGAATGCTGGGCCAGCAATATCTGCATCATCTAGCAATATGTTAAAAATCAGATCCCCAAGCTTCATCAGATATTCACTGAATCACAAAATACAAATGTGAGATTCAACAGTCTGAGCTTAATCAAACCTTTCAGATAGCACTGATGTGAGCTAAAATTTGAAAACTACTGCTTTGAATCATACTATCATATAATATAGCATTATCGTTATTTTTAAAAAGATTTATTTACGTATGCATACAGAACTGGGGTACAGGCCAGAGGTGCAGGGGCGGTGAGAGGATTCACCAAAGAGAGTGGGAAGCAGAATAGGTGGATTGATGAAGTACACTGCTGAGGGGAGCAGCAGGAGAGGCAGGAGAGGCCTGCTGCATCCTATGGATTGCCTTCGGGACTGGGAATCCAACTCACACTGACGCAGCTGCAGCTAAGCTTGCAGTGCGACATTCCAACACACTATGCCACCAGGGAGGGCCACACAGTACTGTATTTTAATAAAACGAGACAACTGTGTTAAATTGTTAGAAATATATCCAAAGTATATTACTTATAAAAACGAATTACAAATAGTGCACATAGTAATGTGTGTTTATTTATAAAATATATTAAGGGTTTGCATATGTTAGAGATAGTGATAAGAGTATTCATATGAATTTGAAAAAGAAATAGAATAGACCTAGAACATAAAATAGTTTTAGTTTTATATTTTTGTGTTGTTCAAAAATGTTCCTTTTAAATTTAATCCCTATGTTTTAATTTAATTTAAATTAATTTAATCCCTATGTATTAATTGTATGTATGTATGTATGTATGTATGTATGCATTTTCAATGGAAGTAATAAGTGGATACCCCAGTAGGTATTGCCACTGTATGCCCTTACCACCAAGTCACCCTCTGTCCACCACCATAGTCCACTGCACATCCTTTCTTCTTTGTTGTTACCACTCTTCCACCATCTCCTCCCTCTGGACACTTCAGTTTTGCACTTAGCTTTCAAGGGTTAGTTTCTAAATTTGTCTTTATTTGACCCAAAGTGTAGTTATGATAGTTATGCTAGTAACACCATGGGGGACACTTAAATTGTTTCCATAAATTGGGCATAATAAATAGCACTGCAAAAAAAAGGGAGTGGAAATTTCCTTTCAAATTGATTTTTTTTTTTTAAGACAGATGCCTAGAAAGTAGAATTCCTGGGCTATATTTTACTGATTTGGGATACCTCCATATTGCTTTCGACAAAAGCAAGACTGTTATGCATCCCCACCTGGATACTGTAGTGGAAGAAAACTCTTCAAATGTGATATTGAGAAAACTGTACAGTTACATGCAAAAGAATGAAATTAGACTACTATCTAATACCACACAAAAATAATTCAAAATTAATTCGAAAATTGGAAATGAGACTTGAAATCATAAAAGAACTTAAAGGCAATAAATTTATCCACATTGGTCTCAGAGGAATGTTAAAATCTCCACTGCAAAGATAAGAGAAACAAAGTTAAAAACAAACAAATGAGACTTTGTCAAACTACAGACCTGCTCAGCAGAGAAATAGACTAACATTAAAACAAAAGTCATCCTACTGAATGCAAGAATATATTTGTACATCATATGCTCAACTCAAAAATCTCAACAACAAAAAAATATAATCTGGTGAAAATAAGTGTAATTTATTTTCCATAGACAATTTCCAATGGCCAGTAGACACAGAAAAAGATGTCTATCGAGTCTAATTATTAAGGAAATGCAAATGAAAAATGATAGACAAGTATCAACTCACACAGGTGATAATGGCTTTTCTTCATAAGATAAATGTTGGAGATGATGTGGAGAAAAGGAGACACTTATATACTGTTCGCAGGAATCTAAATTGTATAGTCATTACAAAAAGCAATATGGAGATTCCTTTACAAATTAATAAATAAATAAAATTCCAGAGAGCCAGTTATCCTGCTTCTGTGTATTTATCCAAAGAATACAAAACTCTTAATGAACTTCTATATTTAGAGAAGCATTGTCTATGGTAGCTGAGACTTGTGAACAATCTAAAAGGCCAGCACAGATCTGGATTTTAAAAGTAGACCACTGAGTTATTTAAAGAGAGAGAACCCTGCTATTTGCAAACTGGATGGACCAATAGGAACTTATATTTAGTAAAATAAATGAGACATTTTACAATTGAAACAACAACAACAAAAAGATAAATACCTGGAACTTAACATAACAAAGGAGGTTAGTGACTTATACAAAGAAATTGTAGACAATCAAAATAAATAAATAAATAAATAAACTATACAAAATAAAATTTAACTTTTAGACTGTAAGTAGAAATTTGTGGTTTCCAAAAATGAAAGGGGAAAGTGCGTGGGCATCATGGGTGAAAGGGGTCTCTGCAGTGAAGCATAGGACTGGACTTTTAGTG